CCTTGCGGCGTCAAAACCATGAGTGGCAGATGGCTGAATTTTACGGACACTTGCCACGGTCTCCAACCCTCCTCTTTTCTCATCCGGGCTTGCGACCGGCCATAGCGGAGTTATGGAAAGTTCTGTAATGTTGAATTGAGTGACAAAGTAGAAAATAAAAGGATGCATAACTGGGCGATTCGACCTAATGAAATCTTGAAGAGATTACTGAATAATTGCTTTTTTCTTGTTTTACACTCCATAGTAGGTTAGAATGTCAGATACTCTTCTTTGGATTTCGCGATTCGTGATGCATTACGAATAATCTTCTCCTATCATTTCGTACGTCCTTAAATCTAATGAAACAACTGTCATTGTATCACGAAAGAGAGACTAATATCATCGTTTACGCACGGTAATCTCTGTCCGCCTTCGTGTTACTTCATCGTTTTAATCTCAAGATCAGATTTTGTTGTTCACGCTTGAGTTAACGTTTTCTAACTCTATGCTTTTCTCTGAATATGATTGTGCTATACCAGGGCTCTCGAAACATCAAAACTTGTTATGCATGAAATGTACGAATGTAATTACAGCTCTTCGGTAAGCAGGTAGTGCATGACTGAACAAAGACACGCCTGTTCCGCGTTCCGCCTTGTGTAAGACCACCGTTAGATGAGGCTCGCAAATAAGATATGCACATCAAATAAAATTTTAATAACTGTTTTCTGTATCCCTTCTCAGGGTAGTTAGCGCATTTAGTCCGAATTTGAGTAAGAATGGGTCTGTATGTTTTAAATTTTATTTACTGTAATACGACGCTCAACGCTGTTATGTTTTATCCACATAATTTGAATGATTTTTCTAGCATTTCAGTCTTCACCTCGATCTGATATTTCTAGAATGCTCATATATTCAAGTATCGATTGCAGTCATGTGATTTTCTTAAATATAATATTTGCTTAATCACCGACAAATACAAAATAAGGTCGTTCGTATCACCAATAAACGAATTCGATTGTTCCCTTAATCGTTGTCCAAGTGGTGAATAAATTAGTTTTCACTGCCATCAACAAAGACTGCGATAAATCTACCATTATGCAAGTCAAGATGCAAGTAACTAGCTGATGAAGGGGGTTGCTTGGTTGGCTGGACGTCGGAATCAGAAATTAGAAGTCCTGAGTTCAAGGGCTGAGGGGATCTTCGTTTTGTCCTTCCAAAGAAAATAGGTGACTTCACTCAGTGCTTGCCAAATGGATGCTACTAAGTCTGCCTTAATAAGGCATTTCCCCGTCGACTGCAACAGAATGGAAGCAGGCCCATAATTAGCTTCATAAATGTTGGGCGCAAAAAATCACCTAATCATGAGTGTGCAATGAAGGGCTGCGTTCTTGCGGTTACAAACTCCTTTCGTTAAAATGCGAAACCTCCTTGACATGACCTCGATTTGGAGTCGAAAAGCAACATTTGTAGTTTGCGTAACTATCAAACAAACAATAACACGGCATTCTTTCTCGTGGATGTTTGGGTCTACATTAAGCAAGCTCTGGCCAAGAGTATGGCTGTCTACAATTCCTTGATGCGATACATTGCATAATGCGCAAATAAAACCAAACACGAACGAAGAGAAAATCTACGAGAATTCAGCAATTTCGTGCGAAATAACTAAATCGTACTCATATTTTACATGTGTGTATACGGGCTTACGATTGTTGGGCAGAAAATGTGGCTGTGAAGCTATCGAACAAACATTATTTCAATAATAGCAATACAGTTGTTTTCGCGTTCAGCAGATATTTCGAGAGAGTGACGAGTATGTCAATGACGCTGAACAACCTCCAAAGGTTTTAGGAGTCTTTTGGAGTCGCTGTTTTACTGCCGGTACTCGGTAAGATTATTAATGCTTTTTCTATCGCGTTACTTCGCAGCGGCGGCGAAAAGCAAGAAATAATAGTGAGCAGGAAGTTAATTGATTAAATGTACCACACTGTTTCGCAATTAAGTAATCACCACTCATGAAGATCTACGAAGCTAGCATAAATTAACAACTTTGTGAAACAAAATGCGGAAACAAGACAGAGATTAACGTCAGATTTAGAGTGGCTTCGATACTATTGTTTGCCGCGGCAGTTTCTTGGTCCTACGACTTGTCCAACAGTAAAGGAACGTGCAGCAGCCTTTTGCCTATTTAAATTATCTGCAAAATGCACAAGAAATCGGACGATGTTTTTATCTTTTACTGAATGAACAATTCATTCAGTTCTAAGATTCCAAATCCTACTGTAACATACATTTAATCGTTATTTTTCCTATATCCGATTTAATTGGCAGTGAAATGGTGAAAAATTCGCTCTACAATTGTGCTAAAATGTGGTCCTTTAACGTTAGAAGCAATTTGTGATCAGTTGCGGCGCTCCTCCTCAAGTTATATTTTCACAAATTTGTTTCCCTTGTTTAGACTATCTTTAACTTTTATTAAAAATATGCATTGGCTGTTCTTTTCTTCCCTTTATTTTAAAAATGAAGCTCGCATGACGATTGTTTAGATTTCAACAATTCTTAATATGACATTTTTCGGGAACAGCATTATAGAGAATTTTTGAAGATTGGACCTTAAAATCTTTGACTGCATGCGAACAAACGATTCTTACTGTAATCTTAGACAATCACTTGTATCGGATGATTTTCGCTGAACTAAATGGGATTCTCTTTGAGGCGAGAATGTTTTATGCTTCTCGTCAATAAAAGTGTAGAATCCTGGCTGTGAAAAGTCGGCGAGTCATCCTACAGCGGAAATGTCAACTGCCGTAAAAGTGATTTGGATGGGATTTTTCGTGCTGCCGATTTTGGCTTCTCAGTTTTCCTTCGATAATTCGTCGACGACCGAAGAGAAATACTTTCTGTCGCTAAATGTAGATTCGCTGCATATGGCCAAAGGGCCAGTTTTATCTTTCCCTCCGTCTCCGTCTTCTTCGTTTCATGAAACGCCTCCGAACATGCGACATGACCTCAGTTCGTTGCCTATGATTATGAACGCCGATCGAGTGTCGAAACTTCTACGGAACTTTGCAAACGAGGAAATGGCAGTGTATTACATGCAGGTTTACGATTATCTTTGCTTTAAATTACAAGGCTTTTTAATACTAAACCTTTAGTCGTTGTTCGACTCTATGCAGTATCACGTGGACAAGCCGGATCCAGCCGAGATGGTGTCTTCGGTAAGAGGGATCGATTTCACTGTTGCATCTTCGGCAACTTGGCTGAATTCGCATGGCTTGTTGTCGCTTTTAGATTGTTACTTCCTTATCTCGCAAGATCGACGCTTATAAGCGAGCTGTTGAAGCAAGTCGCGCCGAACTCGTCTCCTTGTTCCAGAAATCGCCGTATGACATGCACATCTTCAGGCAGTACCGCGAGTGCTGCTCGTTGGACCTTCAGTACCTCAGGTTCGAATTTTAAGTCAACGTTGAATAGTTGCTCCATGAGGCTTAGTATTTTCTCAGCCTAAATTTATCCTAATGCGATTTTGTTTCTCATTAAGCCCTTCCCACTTTTACAACGTGAAAGTAAATTTGTCGATCAGCTGCGACGTCGTACCCGCCGGTCTGTCCGCGTTTTCCTTTTATCCCGGCAGCAGGTTGGCTGACGGTGAGTTTTGACCAGTGATTCACACGTGTTTGCCTAGTAGCGGATTTTTAGCGTTGTTTGGAATAAGATTTGTCTTTCACCTCACTTCTTGCAAGTTTCAGTTTTTGCTGCGAACATGAACAAGAACAACGCGATTCGATGGCAGCATTTCACCTCTTCCGAAGGCATGCGATTCGAGTATCCGGCTCATCGTATGGATGAAAGGAGTTACCAAAACTGCCAGGTCATTGCCGAACGCCGGCGAAGGTGAATGACCAGTTTCTCGTCGTTTACAATGCCCTCATTCAGGTAATTGGTTTCTGTCATGACTCAGAGTGTTAACTTTCAGACAGCTGTTCATGTCTGCGATGTTCTCTTATCGGAAACAGGCGGTGATTATCCTCGATAAAGGCAGCGGCATGTCCGAGACTCAATTTTCCTCGGCCAAATGTGTCGCCCATGTTCTTCTGGAATGCTTCCGCCCCGACGATGAGGTGAGAGTGACAAACTTTTATTACAGATTTGAAACATTTTTAATTATTGTTTGAATTCTTTTTATGGGTGCACAGTTTTTCGTTGCAATTTTCTTTAAAAGGTTAACCATTTCAAATCGCACTCTGTCCATTTGGTACATTACTTGCAATCCATCTCTTCCGAAGATGAACCCTTCCGATTCGATATGTCCGGCGAATTGTACGTGAGATATACGCAATGTAATATTTCTGGGGAGTGTTTCCTTTAAATTCTTCAAATTTATTCGGCGTATAGTATCATTTCCTCCTTGCTTCTAGCGTCTTTGTAGATCCTTTAAGCAGGCCATGACTTAAAACATGTTATATCACTTAACATGCGTCGATGAAAGCAGCATCGTTGTACTGAGACGAACAAAAACCTGTTCAAATAACCTTTTAGACACTGTTGTTATGAAGGTGTACGGTAGACGCATTGTACATATATGGTCCCTGGAAGACGCCGTTATATGATTTTTGAAGTTATCAGTCTATCAGTAGGAAAACAATGCTGTTGAGTTTCCTTTGTCCATTTGTAATATAATAAAAATGATGTTTCTCAGTACTGTCTGATTTTTTTTAAAAAATTTTTATGCTCGTTTGTTCCGTTCTTCATTTTGCCTTAATTCTTTCAGCCCTAGTTTCTTGATTCCCCGTCTTCTCCTTTCGTTCCTTCTTTTATTCTTAAGTGTTTTAGTTCTCTTCTTAATTTCCCAATTCTTACAGGTCTTTTTCTTGTTCTTCATTTCCTTTAATTCCATAATTGCATATTTAATATTTTTACTTAGTTCCTTTTTTACCTCAGTTTCCGTGTTATTTCATATTTTCTTTACCTTTATTCTTCGATCTGTAAGTTTGATTTATCGTCTTCTGCTCGGTTCCTCCGTTTTTTCATTCCTCCATCCTTTTTCATCTCTCTCGTTGTTCCCGTTCGTCTGTTTCCTCTCATCCTTCCTTCCCATTTTTCTTTCCATCCTTTCTTGTTCTCTTTCTCCAGTTGTTTTTTCTTTATTTCTATCCTTAGGTTCTCCATTCCCAACCTCTTAGCTTTTCTTTTCATTTTTAGTGAATGGATTTCTCACGTCCACGTTTCATTTTTATCTTCAGTTGATCTATTCTTCTATTTCGATTTCTTTCCTTTTCTCATTTGTCTGTTTTTTTCTTAAATTTCTTTAATTTTTGTTTCTCACTTTCTCCCTACAAGCTTTTTTCGTTCTTCATTTTTTCCTTCTCGTAGTTCCACTGTTTTTTCCATTCTCTTTTAATCATTCATCAACTTTTGAAATTTTTTTTATCTTAGTTCCTTAATTCTTCCGTTCTTCTCTTTCAGTTTTTTCCTTTTGTTTCCTTCCTTAAGTGATAATTTCTTCATAATTAAAATATTTCCTACCATCTGTAATTGCTTATTTTCTCTCCATCATTTCTTAGTTTTTGCTGAATTCCTCTCTTCCTTAGGTCAGTTCTTGTTTTCGTTTGATGATTCTTTCCCTCCTCAGTTCTGTCCTCTCCTTATTCATTTTTTTCAATTCTTATGTTGCCATTTCTTCCAAGCTTTCCTTATTTTTGCTTACGCATACTTCCGCAGTTTCTCGCCTTCTTCCGTTTTTATGCACGTGTTCATTTTTCTGTTATTCAGCTCTTCGTTTCGTTTTCATTTTCCTGTTGCATTTCCTTCCACCTCCAACTGTTTGTTTCATCCGCCAGTTACTTTCGCCTTTAGTTGCTAAATTATTATTTTCGTTCTTTTTTTAGTTTTGTTGTTTACCAGTTTTAGCCCTTTCTCTTTTCATGAATCTTTTCTTTCCATCTTTTGTTTCTCGGTTCATCTTCTACCTTTATTTATTTCATTACCTCCTCAGTTCCTTATTTTTGCACGAATCAGTTTCCTTCTTTGTTGTTTCTTCATAATTTCTTCCTGTATTTATTTCTCATCTATTCTTGTTTCTATAGTTTTTACTTTGGCCTCATAGAAGACCCATCGATACATACTTGTATATATGTTCTTGTCGTATTTCGAGAAAATTTGCTTCTTTGTATTATAGGTTCACTCAGTACGCAGAGCGAAGATGTACATTTTGAATTTATCGTTAATATGGCTTCTTCATGTGTAAATTTTGTAAATCAATTACAACTCATGCATTTTCACAGAATGCTGTTCCTTTCGAATTACGGTGGCATCAGCCTCAAGAAATTTATGTAATGCTGGTTTTCGTTTTTTTCTGTCCCGGCGATCTCCACGAGTTTGATTCAAGGACTTGGTAATTTCGAGATGTACAGCACACTCGAACAGTTTCATACTCTTTGATTTACAGTGTACAGTTGACAAATGACTGTGCAGAGGGTGTATGCCTTGTATGTTTGTTCGCTAGCATCCTCACCACATTTGGAGGAGAAGAGGGGGCACATAATTAAGGAGGTAAGTTTATGTCATTTTCTGAACCTTCTTGAATCTCACCGCATTTGCAATGCGTTGAAAAATCTCGTTTTGGCCACTTGTATTTGGAATCACACTGTCAGTGTCCAGCACTGATGGCTATGGTTCGGATAATGTTTACATAGAGAAGAGGTAGCTTCGCACTAATGCTCAGTTATTATCTTCACCACACTCTGGAGAACTTTCCCATTTTTAAAATAATTTTTTTTATGCTGGAAACGGCATAAAACTCGTTTTATTTATGCACCGGGCTGACAGTTGGGTCAGATGGATGTTTCTGCCTGTGTTTCACGGGCCTTTTACGTAAAGTGAAATTCAAACGTCCTTCTGTTCCTCTGCAATGAGACGAATTAAGAAGACGAGCTTTTGGCCGTGCTGTTGATTAGACAGTTCTTCGGCGATGGGTGCAACTAGGCTCATTGAGTTCACTCAAAGTTCGTGTCCTTTGTACGGTTGACATTGTCACCGGAATTGATGAGTATTGCATCCTTCCCGCACATATTCAGTCAGTATTTTTTCTGTTACGCAGTGGTATTGAGATTGTGAACAAAATACGCAATGTAGTGCTATGTTGCCAACAGAATATTGAATATTGTGATGATTCTTTTTTTTAATTTTCAGTCATAATATTGTCCCTGTCAATTATAGATTCTTGTCGTTGGAGTCAGCGACCATTTGCTTCGCAGTAGCGTCTGCTCTGACGTAACGGTACCTCTCAACGCAGAAACCATGGAATCGTTTCATAGCTTCATTAATCTTCTTTCTCGTGATCCAGGTAAATCGATTCGAGCCATGGATGGAAGGATTTGAAATATTCACTGTTCATCATTTAAGAGCCAGTCAACCATACTTTGGTTTTTGAAATCGCCTTCAAAATACTGAGGAACCGGCCAATGAAAGGCGCAGGTATAATTGTTCATTAATTTATGTACTAATGGGGCAGAGTAGAGTCAGGAGAAGGTTCGTATCCGTTCGAATGTCGGTCTCCCTCCCGCGAAGAGGTGAATGACGAGTGTATTTCATTAAAGTTGGAGGGAGACATTGAACCGTTCTGCTACCAGCTGTGAATACCTTATTTCTGAAGGCAGTGTTGGAGCATCGATAGAAATCAGAGAGTCTAACACTTTTTACCTTTCGTATTATGATCTGTTGTTTGTGCTACATCGGCTATCTTTACCTGCCTCCGTGTCCTGTTTACTGATCTTAGAGAAGTGAGGTAATATCGCCCCAACACACTGGAATAGCCATCGACGTTCTGTGAACGAGACTGGCGGTTGTGACTAATGTGATGCGAATATTCCGGCTCTATGGCCAGTTGCTACGGGCGATTCAGTCACTATATTCGGATAGTAAGTGCTGCGTTAAGTCGAAATCTTTCACCGTTTGCACTGGTCTGCATCAAGGCTGCGTCCTGTCCCTACATGGATAGAATAGTCAGGAGCTGCCAAGGCGATGAAGGTATCGGTGTAGGAGATGTGAAGTCGAGAA